GGACTCTGAGATCATGACCTGAGCTGAAGTCGGACGCTTAACCGACTGAGCCACCCACGTGCCCCAGGACACTGACATTCTTAAAACTAAGCAAATTGATTGGTTTGGGAGAGGTCCGATAAGGGGGAAGAAGCCTAGAAAGTAAGGTATCTCACGTTGCCTTGAAACGTGCTGGGTGCCGTTGTGAGCGGGCTTGGATGAATTTTTTCTAGATACTCTTTGAAGGCATTGGGGACAACGTGATCAAAGTGAGTCCCCTTTAAAATGTAACCAAAACAACCTTTTCACACAGTACTTTTTTTTTAAGTGCATGACTCCTCCTCAGAGCCCTGATCTTGTGGAGCCATCGACAGGGACACTTGTTGCTTCCCAAGTAACTGATTCCAAAGCGTGCATGGTCACGGCCGTCCCCCCAGCCTCTGCTGAGGCAGCCCAAGTGCTGAGCGGGAAGGCGGAGAGGGGCCTTCCTGGTTTGAAGCCAGAGCCACTGGAGCCGGACCCCGGCCCCTCCTGCAGGCCCGTGGTGACGAGTGTCATCCGCCACACCGGGGGGAGTCCTGCTCCTGGCCACATTCCTACTGCCCAGGTTCAAGAACGCCAACTTTCCGTCAACAGAGAAGGAGAAGCACGGTTTCTGGGACACATCGAAGCTTTGCTGGGCACACGACTCACGGACAATCTACTGAACGCTGACTCGTTGTCCTGTCAGCCTTGCTTGCACGAGTCTGGCGGCCTGATCCCCACGGACAGAGGCCAGCAGGCAGTGTGGCCTGTCGCAGTTCAAACCTGCTCACCAAAGAATTATGAAAGTGACTTGCCGAAGAAAGCCACCCCTGTGATCTCTGTCCCTGTCCCCAGTTCCCCCGTCTTTTGCCAAATGATCCCTGTGGCTGGACAGAGTGGCACGTTACCGGCTTTTCTGAAGCCTCCTCCCCAGGTGTCTGTGGGGACCGTGAAACCCATCCTACCCCACGCTGCTCCGGTGCCCCAGCCTGTGTTCGTGGGGCCGCCTGTGCCTCAGGGAGCCGTGATGCTCGTTCTGCCCCAGGGGCCCCTGCCCCCGCCTGCCGCCGCCTCACCCGGCGGGATGGCCGTGGGCAGTACAAGGTTCCTGCCCCTGGCCCCTGCTCCAGTGTTCATCGCCTCCGGTCAGAACTGTGCCCCTCAGGTAGACTTTTCCCGAAGGAGAAATTATGTTTGCAGCGTCCCAGGCTGCCGGAAAACCTACTTCAAAAGTTCCCACCTCAAGGCGCATCTCCGCACTCACACGGGTGAGTACTGACAGGTGTGAGGACGCCGGGTCCCGTGTTCAGGAGACACGCCTGAGCCTGTCTCCGGTGGGAGGGACACGTGAAAACCACCGGGAGGAGAGGAAATCTGGCCTGTTTCCTTTGGTCCGGAAAAACCCTCGTGGTCTTGTAGGGATTGGGGTTCACGTTAGCATAACCATCGGTGGTTTTTCTGGAACATGCCGTCCGCTCATCCCCGCACATAGAACGTGTGGTTCTGGGATCGTGGTTCTTTGATAGGTTTCTCAGGTGGTGCTCGTACTGTCCCTTTCTCTTCACATTGCCGGAAACTCCTCCGTCTGTCTTTCAGCATTTTAGAAAACATGAATTTCACATTCCGTAAACATCCGCGTAACTTATTTTGGTTCCCTCTGGGGAAAGGTCTCTCTAAAGTATGGAAAAGTTTGAATTCCAAAATACGTGACCTTTAAGGGCATGGAGTTTTCTCATCTGGGGGAACATGTAGTTTGTTGTTCGGAAGAACTCCGAGACTCTGATGACTTGGTGACATCTTTATTATCTCATCGGCTCGGTCCAGTAGAATTTTTGGCAACAAGGGAAGTGTTCTCTGCCCAGTGAAGGTGGCCACTGGCCACACGTGCCTGAAACGCGGACAGTGGGACCAAGGAAGTAAATTTTTCATTAAGTTTATACTTACATGGCTACATGGGGCTGGTGGCCTTCGCGTTTGACTGAGGTCTGAGAGCTGCCTGGTAGAGTTTCAGCTTTAGTAGATTAGGTTAGAATATCTCTAATGTTCTGTGGCACTCTTGTTCCTTGAGTTGGTGTTCCGTTTTGCTTGTGAGGCTCCTGTGGTTAAATAGTCTGCTTGTTAAGCTCCCCTTTCGGAGGGTCGCGCTCTTACATAAGTGTCGGTGCAATAACCGGTCACGCAGGGTCTGTAGTATAAACCCCTGACCTTGGAACTCCCTTCCACCGAAATGTCTGCTGATGGCTTGTAGGACGATAGCGAGTTGTGGAACACAGTGTAGGAAAGGCTGAACTGGAAGGAGTGATCATTGTATTGTTTTCCACAATGCATTTCAGGTAGGCGGGTTTTGGTTAGCACCTCAGAGCTTGAATATCGGCAGCTCCGACAAGCAGAATGAAGCAGGGTTTAGAATTGAGGCGTGAGCGTCCTGGCTGTATTGGAGTGAACGGGTGCCTCTAAGGGGCTCTGCTTTTCAGGGAAGGAATTGTTCTTTCAAGAATCTTCCCCCTACCCTAGGCTATACCAATGAAAGATTTATTTTTGTTTAAAAAACGCCTGGGTGTATTTTGGGGCACCTGGGTGGCTCAGTTGCTGGAGCATTGATTTCAAGCTCAGGTTATGATATGGTGGTTTATGGGTTCAAGCCCCACATCGGGCTCACGCTGCTGACAATGCAGAGCCTGTTTGGGATTCTCTCTCTGTCCCTCTCTCTCCGCCTCTTCCCCCCTTCTCTCCCCCCCTCTCTCTCTCTCTCTCAAAATAAATAAACTTTGAAAAAATATCTTGCGAAATGTGACATTAGTTTGACATCTCCGGGCCTTGACGTATATATTCTGTACTTTGGGCGTGGCAAAAAGAAATGCATTTTGGAAGAATTCTTGACATTTGAATAACTCAGTACCAGAATAAGACGATACTACTTTCTTAGATTTCGATGAACAGAATTTAAAAGTGACATGAATTAACCTGTCCAGTAAAGCCGCTGAGCATTTACGTCTTCTTTAATGTGTGTTTTCCTGCCTCTTAGGAGAGAAGCCTTTTAACTGTAGCTGGGATGGCTGTGATAAAAAATTTGCCCGTTCTGATGAACTTTCTCGCCACCGCAGAACTCACACCGGGGAGAAGAAGTTTGCGTGCCCCGTGTGTGATCGGCGTTTCATGCGCAGTGACCACCTGACGAAGCACGCCCGGCGCCACATGACCGCCAGGAAGACCCCTGGCTGGCAGGCAGAGGTTGGCAAGCTGAACGGAATCGCCTCGGCCGAGAAATGCGGGAGCCCGCTAGTGGGCCTGCCAGCCTCTGCCTGAGAGGTCAGCCAGGGAATTGCCAGTGCGAATTTTAAAAAGCATTTTTCAGGAATGGAACTGTCCCCCCCCCCCAAAAAAAATTTTTTTTTCTTGTGGGGGGGCTAGGAGAAAGTGGGGAGCTGGTTCTGATGAAAGTATGTTAACTTTTCCTTTTTCGGTTGGGACCCTGTTCGATAACGTTTCGTAGTTTCAGAAGTTTTGTTTTGTTTTGTTTTTTTGAGGAAATGGAAGAAAATTTGATCATCGGAATCACCAGCATTCAAATAGACATTTTGGCAATAAAGTTTACAAAATCTGGATTTTTACAGCCTTTCTATTCGTGTTTTATAGAAATGAGACAGGGTACTAATTTTTATACTGTTTTTTATTAAAATATTTATATTGTTGGTGTTCAGATCACCACTTACTAGGTGATTTTACAGTCTTCTTTTCAGCGTTCAACGATGTTTTTCACAATAACTCTACTTTTAGTCAATTTGGCACATTCGGCCACAAAAAGAAAAAATTACAAGTCTGTAATCAGGCCCTTTAGATTTAAGAATTGTTACGAATCAGAACTGGTTGAATGGGGGCTTCTTAAATGGGTGGGGAAGGGATTTGCATTTAAGTTTTTCATAGCATTTTCGAGGGAAATTCCAGGCAACCATTCCTTTAAGGCTGTGGCCCAAGGAATCAAAATTTTGGTTAAGTAGAACGAGTCATTTATGTCGGTAGTGTGACTTGTGAAGGATGTGCCCCAGAGAATAATTTAAAATACCTGATAGGTACCCGGTGAGCGGTGAGCTGCTGTCGGATCTGAGCGTCTGCGTCTTTGGGGGCCCTCGCTTTACCGAGAGCAAACTGCTTAGTTGCCTGTTTGTACCTCAAACACCAAAAAAAAGGTAATGTAAGCACTCAAACCCAGCCGTTTCGTCAGTCGTCAGTCGACTTCTTTTGCTGTGGCCTTACACGTAGTGTTTTATGGGTACAGTGACTCCTTAGAGAAGGAGAAAATGTCCTTACCGGTTGGAGGAACTTTCCACCAAAGTACAGTTGATCTGAGCTAAAGTGTACATGCAAACAGCCCAGCTCCAATATTCCGATTCCTTTATTTAAGAACTCTAGGAAATGCGAGTTACGCTCTATGGCACTGGTGCTACCCAGCTTCTCTTTCGTTCATTTGATTTGAAGGAAATTGACCAGACAAAATTACTTGGAACGGGGTATTTTGCAATCCGCCTAGAAGATAAGACCTGCAGCAGCACTTTGAATCCGTGTGATCTCAAGCCCTAATTACACAGACACTGTGGCCCTGGTGTCCGGGGAGCCACGGAGATTGCTCTTGCTGGACGGCGTTGGGAATCCAGGCGACACGGGGCGTGCAAGGAACGTGTGAACGTGGCACCGCTTTGTGAGCCCGGGAACGGGTTTTACTGTGCCGCATGTACTTAGATCTTGCCTTTGCGTCTTTGTTATATTGGCGTTTACTTTTATCAAAATGATGGTAAGGTGAAATATTAAATAAATACAATTAGGTTTTATGTTCAGGTCCTTTTAGTATGATAACCATCACCTGGACACCCTGTAAATTGCCCTTTAGTATCAACCGCTAATTGATGTACACGTCTGAGTGCTGGCTGTTACGTGCAGATGGCCCTCACGTTTTTGTACACTTCGTTGTTGAGTATTCCCACAGGTCATGGGACGTAAGACAGGTGCAAGAGAACCATAATTAAATATTGTAGCTCATGTTTCCTCACACA